ATCTTGAAAGCTTTTCAAGGAAACTAATCTACCAGTTAAACCAGAGCCACTTGAGTTATTTTGAGAATAAGTCCAATCATTATTAATTGAACCTCGAAAACGGAACCAGTCATTTTTATCATGATTCCAACTTAAAATATCGCCTTTAGTCCAAATAGCTTTATAATTGGAAGAATATTTTCCATTAGCGATAAAAGTAACTTTTGTTAATTCATCTTGAGGGATCCATTCAATGACTTCATAATGATCGGTAGCGTTAATTTGAGCATTTTGAATGAACATATCAATCTGCTTATTACCGCTGGACCAGGTTGAAAAGTTTTTGCTAAATCTTTCAGCATTACAAGATTGACACCAATCGTTGCTTGAGTTTTCTTGAAAACAATCCTGGCAAAGACCATATTTCAAGTCACCAGATAAACTAGAAAAAATAAAAAATAAAGCCAAGAAAAAAGGGGGAAGGGAAGAAAAAGCCAAGAAAAAACACAGTATTAAAAAAGGTAAAGAAGGTAAAATTAAAATAAAAATAAAAATAAAAGAAAATAAAATACACATACGCTTTCTTAACTTCATAAAAAACCGAACCAAAAAAACTTGTAGGCATTTTTCGCAACGAGAAATAGAGAAACGGAAAAAAAAAATTGAAAGAGGGTAATATGGTTCTATTCGTGAGAGAATATTTATATTAAAATAATGGTATTTAAAATAAATTCTGGGGACCAAAAAAAAAATAGTTTAATTTTGGTATAATAAATAAAAACGTAGATTATAATAAATAATAGAGTATCTCACTTTTTTATTTAGACCGAGATACGTAGAACGTAAAAGTGTAGAAGCGAGTCAAGGCAAGTAAAACGATGATTTTTATTATTTACGTCGAGATGTGCAACTGCGATAGGAGAAAAGTATAAGAGTGTAAATATTTATGCATACGATTCATGAAATCAGTCATGAAAGATAACACGACATTAAATCAAGATATACAATCTTGGATGTCACATGATATAATTGTTATAATTATTTTAATTAAAAAAATAAATAAATAAAATTTGAGCACATTGTATCATAATTCCGAGTATGCAAAGAGAGAAACCTTTTTTTAATTAATAACGATAATGGTTACCATTAATAAATTATTTGTAATAGAATTTACCATAAAGAAACTATTTTTAGAATAAGATTTCCAATTTGTATATACATATTTGTTTATTGAAAAAAGAGTATCAGTTATCTATAAAAGGAAATGCAGAGTTAATCGTTAAAGCATTTTAAGCAGTTGATATGACATATCAGAGTGACCGACATATTTTTGATCGAGGCGTTGTTTTACGTTGTCCTTTGCACGGAATCCATCATTGTATAATACAAGGATACAAGGTATGTACAGTACGTAGGTTACGTACGTACGTATAACTGATAATAACTGATAATAACTGATATAATAACTGATATAATAACAGATAATATCTGATATAATACAACAATATAATGTAATATAATATAATATAATACAATATAATACAAGGGGGATACGATATATACACGTGTACGTACAGTACGTATAGTATCGGAATGGAATTTTCATTACGGTTAGATATTTACTGTATTTACTGTATTTACTGTATTTACTGCTATATTTACTGCTATATTTCTATATTTACTGTTATATTTACTACTGTATTTACTGTACACATTTACTGTGTTAATTGATCATAATACTAATAATACTGCAATAATACAGTAATAATACAGTAATAATACAGCAATAATACAGTAATTGAAATAGTAAACTGAAATGGTAAATTGCAATAATAAAAATATAGATAATTTTAGAGCGGGTAAATTCTGGTATAGGTCCGACATTAATCCAGTTATCACGTCATACCATTCCACGGAGTATGTTCCGAAAATGTTCATCATCAATTCATCAATCCAAATTTAGATAATTAGATCCTAACAGCGTATTTTTAGGTTAATATTTTGATTTGTTGATTATTTATTTATCATTTTTGAATTCTAAGATTAAGATTCCGCAGCTTAATGATCAATTAATACGATAATAAATAATAATAATGATCATGATAATAATAATGATCATGATAATTAAGGAAATTATAGCGCATAAACGGAAATCATAAGTTTTTCGCTCCATAAACAATGAGGCGGTTCTTAATTTGGGAATATCGGTTTCATTCTTACATAATTTAAAACGTAGATTCCTGAAGTTTCTTTTATGGTATTTATCGTGTACGTACGTAGTGTAGTGTTACATATTGATATGCAGTATTACTGCTGTACTAATATTATGTATATTATATGTATATTATATATATACTATGTATATTGTGTATATTATGTATATTATGTATATTATGTGCACATACTAACGCTAATACATACCAATACATACACACATACTGTGCGTACTGTACGTACGTACGAACGGAAAGAGAAACATGTAGTAATACATTTGAAAGGATTCCAAGAATCAATCATTATGTTCTCCACGTCAAATATTACTGCATTAACTGCAAATGATCAACGACATGCTTTAACAATTATTAGTTTTATTCAATTATTCCGTCTTTCTTACGTACTTTACTTATCTTGTCAAGCCAAGAAAAGAGTGTCTGTCACTTAACTTAAAATTTACAGTCCAAAAAAGAAATAACAAACAAACAAAGTAATGGGTATATTTTTAAAAAAAATAATTACTAAGTTTTGAAACCTTCGAAATTTCGATAATTATGAGTCAATTTTCTATATGTAGGAAAAAAAATATTACTATAATGTTTATCTACAGCACAGTGCATATAAACTGACAAAACTTTACGGAGAGATCCAGTGTGAAACTATATTCGCTTTAGACCTCCGGATTTTTTTTTACCGTATCGTAGGCCAAATGAATACCCGGCCATTTACGTAATTGTGTAATCGCAGATAATCACATATATCTGTATATCCCGAGATATCCCGGAGATCACAGATGTCACTGTATCAGGTGATGCTAGACTTACATACATAAGAAAAAAGAAACATATAAATTGTAAATCCAGTAAGTGCGATAGAACTCATTAAACTCCTTGTTTTATTTATTTAACAGTATCCTTAACAGTGTTCTTAACAGTAATGCGATAGACCCCTAAGTTTACAAGCATGTTTGAGTCTTTTAAAAGTGATTGGTAACCTTATCCATTAATAATGTTCCTAAACAGATTCACTATTATAATGATCTTAAATAGTAAATAAGTGCCTTAATTTTTAAGCATAATATATTATAATATCTTTAGAATAAATAAAGTATTTTAAATAGTATTTGATATAAACAATTTTGGTAGAAAGTTCATCTCGATCACGCATATCCAAAACTAATATGGTTTGATATCTCAAACTAATATAGTTTGAGTTTGCCCACGCCAAAATTCCAAACTTTGACAAAACTAATATCACAAAAACTTTATTAATAATCTTTACCTAAACAAACAAATATGATTCTCATAGTTACATAGGATATATTTGCAAAAATACAATTTTTCTTTTTTTAGAAATAACCAATCCCTCTTTGTTTTATTTTAGAAATATCATGTTTTTCAATTTGTTACAAATATATACTTAATTGCGCATCGTAATGTTAATGTTGAATAGAGTAGAGTCATCCGGTTAAACTTTTTGCTCCAAAAGTCAAGTCAATCGATCAGAAGTCAATCTGATATTAATCCGATATCAAGCCGATATCATCTGATATCAATCCCCGATATCAATCCCCGATATTAATTCGAAGTTTGGTCTATACATAGCAATTAGGAATGTTCTAAATTCAAGGGGTTTAATGAATATTAAAATCAGACTTGTTCTTAACTAGTCTGATCAATTGTCATTACTAGAACAATCATGGAAATAATTAGCATGTATCCATGTTATGAATTAAAAATATGAATTAAAAATATAATTAACATGTATCCATGTTATGAATTAAAAATATAAGTAAACAATTATAAGTCTGACTCAATGCGTCCATTCTGTGTCAATGATTCAATGACTCTCGTGAACCTTTAACAACCCCATTTAATAGACTTTTACACGTGAATTAACCTGCTCATTAGATTAGTGGATCGTTCTTTAGAATATGCTAATAAATAATATGTAACTGTAACAACGTCAGCCCCTTACCGTATTTACACGAAATAACGCCGCGGTAAGTTCTTGTAAGTTATTTTAAGATAAAATTTAATGTGAATTTTAGAGTTAAGAATTAATTTAGCTAAATGTGAACAACAAAAATTATTTCTTTTAAGTAATTTGATTCTTAACTCTTTTTAAATATAAATTAATTCTTTAGCCCTCTTTAAAATTGTAACTTTAAATTATTTCCTGGGAAACGATCCACTAATCCCAAATAAGTTTTAATACGTATTTATTGCGTGATACTAATTATTATGAACATACTAATTATATTAATTATAATAGGAAAATTCTAAGTTTCAACTTTCTACCCGGCTTTCGATGGGAAAGCAACACAAACTCTTGTATAATTTCAGAAAATCTACCGTGTTAATATGATTGTCGTCGGAAGCTCGTAAGGAGGTTTATATGAAGTTTTTCTATTGTCGTACATTACCGTTACTATTGCCGTTATTGTATTCTCATTGTTTCAACTTTAGTATGATTTTATTGGTCAGGCGGAACTGTCCTGGCGAATCTCCGAATGATTGCATATTATCTACATAAATATTTCCTGATCAAGAATGTGATCAAATTTTATTTACATCTATATTTAAAATCCAATTCTACTATATCGATATTTAAGTGTCATTTGTCAAATTCTAAACCGATCAGGCACAGCATACACTGATGTTGTACAAAGTTAGACTAGACTGTAGATCAAGATATCCTAGGTCACTAACTTTAAAACTGATTCAGGTGCAAAGGGGTCCTTCCATGCAATGACATGTACAAAAAATTGGTGTATATAAAGTACCTATGCACATGAAGTTTGTGTTATTAGCCGTTTAAGGGCATTCGATTTAGTTGATATATATAGAAATGAATCCCCTGTTCCAAATTTACTTATCATTCATTACACCATCAACCCGCCAACCCGCAAACCCGCAAACCAAGGGCATATTCACATGATCTTTCGACCTTTATAACAACTGAATTTTAGTATCGGTATTTATCGGTATTTATTTTATTTGATCCCGAATATTAACGTTAATTAGTTTTTATAAGAAACGAAAACAATCATTATACTTTACATATCATGAAATATACAGTATAAAATTTTGCAGCTCTTGTTCGTTATAATAAGTATACAGTAATATATATAGTTCATTGTAATAATTATAATATAGTTCATTATAATTATAATTATAATATAGCGTTAATCAGCTAATCAGCTATTTATATTTAGTGATGTTCATAATTTACGTCGATCTGTAACCGAAATTTATGCTCAAAGCTAAAAATACATAGAATGGACAATGTTAAGTATGATTTATGTTCATGAATTACATTAACAAATGTATTTCATTCATTTATTCATAAATAAGAGGTTTAGCTTTGATTTTTTATTA